AGGGTTCGGGGTATGGGGTTTAGGGTTTAGGGTTTAGGGTTTCGGGTTTAGGGTTTGAGGACTTCGGCTAGATAGATGTCGCAGTCTAGCTTTTCGGGTTTAGGGTGACACCCGGGAAAATCCCAGGAATTCGGAGCCTTCCTTCGGCGTTGAAGATTCGAGTCTTCGGGGCTCAGGGCTGAGACTCTTCAGGTGTTCGGATCAAAGTGAGTGCCTGGTGGAGTTTGGGGTTTCGGGCCCTGGTTTAGGGTGTTTTGGGTAGGTCTGCACCCCCCTGGGGCCGCTTTCAAAGGGGGCACGCCTCGAAAACCGAACGGCTGCAGTCGACCCACGTGTCGCGCTGAGCTCTTCGATCGTTCACCCCTAAACCCTAAACTCTAAACCCTAAACCCTAAACCCTAAATCCTAAACCCTAAACCCTAAACTCTAAACCCTAAATCCCAAACCCTTATGCTCTGTGCTTAAAGGCTTAGGGCTTTAGTCTTCGATCCCGGCTCAGGGCTCAGGCAGAATGCTCCGCAGACCTTCCAAAGTCCCTTAAGTAAGGCATATAGCTTAAATCAAACTTAGGGTTTAGGGTTTAGGGTTTAGGGTTTAGGGTTTAAGGTTTAGGGTTTAGCTTAAATCACACTAGGGTTCCTGATAAAATCTAACTAAATGGCATATGCCTTACTTAAGGGATTGTGGGAGCTCTGGGACATGATAACCATGACCATGATGCCACACGCTGCCAAGTGTAGCACCTGCATTTACTTGCAATTTCTCGTTGCCACTAGACTGTCAGCAACGTCTCCCACCCTAAACCCTAAACCCCAAACCCTAAACTCTGAAGCCTTGAAGTCATAGGAGCTCTAACAACGGTATTTCGGGCCATTGCAGCCCTGCCGAAACTCGAAGCCCTACGTCCTGAACCACCTGCTAAGCCTAAGCCCTATAGGGTTTTTGAAGTGTGGGGCTTGTTTAGGCTCTATGCTGTGAACTAAACCCGAGAACATAATCGCACCTGTGCGCATCGGTTTAGGGCTTCAGGTTGAGAGTCTAGAGAGTCTAGGGTTTTGGGGTTAGGGTCTAGAGCGTTGCGTTGTTGAACACATGGTTTAGGATTTGATGCCTGGGGCTTCGGTTTTCGTTGAGGGGTTAGGCGCTTTGGGGTTTAAGTGTTTTGCAACCATCGCGGTGGCTTAAGGTCGATGTTGACATCCCAAACCGTCTCCTTCCAAGTTGTCTTGAAGTTGTCTTGTCGGATTTGAGATCTAGGCTTTAAGGGCTTAGGGCCTTTGAGGTTTATTTACGGTTCAGGCTACGCCAGGGTGAATGAAGGCAACCTCAAAGTGAACAAAAAAAACACGGTCACTAAAGTTTAGTGACCCTAAACCCTAAACCCTAAACCCTAAACCCTAAACCCTAAACCCTAAACCCTAAACCGACACCTACCGTCCTGCAGGGCCGGGTTCCTCCAGCTCCACTTCTTCGGGGCGCCCCAAACCCGAAGTACTCCCTAAATCCTAAACCCCAGACCCGAATCTAGGGGCCATAATAATTAGACTAGGGTGTTGGGGGTTCCTTATTATGATTGTAGTACAACATAACTCCAAACCCTATTCTAATTATGAAGCCCCCTATATTAAACCCTACAAAGGGGGAAACAAGCCAATAAACCCTAAACCCTACACCTTAAACCCTAAACCGTAAAGGTGAAAGAGCGCCAAGGCCTTGCTTTCTGCCTCTGCCTGCACGAAGAATGCTCAGGCCGGAGTCGTTCGTTCAAGAATAACGAAAAAAGTGGTTCCATAAAGTAGCGGGTGGTAGTAGTAGTAGTAGTAGTAGTAGGAGGAGTAGGAGTAGGAGTAGGAGTAGGAGGAGTACTGGCAGAAACAATACTAATACTAGTAGTAGCAGTAATACGGATGATAAATGCTAACCATGACAATAATAACTGATAGTAGTAATGATGATAAGGCTTTCTCTTCAGTGTTTAAGGGTCTAGTGCCTAGTTAGGGCTTCCTTTGGTTGGGGGTTACAGGGAAGGGCCCCAAGGCTTCCGGGGAGCTTCGGAATTCGGGTTTAGGGTTTAGGGTCGGGTCTGTGGAGATTTTTGGACTTTGCGACGTAGGATTTGGGGTTCAGAAAGACCCCGATCTTCCAAAGTCAACTAATTCCCTTATCTTTTTCGGATCCCTAGCATATTTTAGGTAAAGGTAGATTCCAAAGTTAAGGGATTTTGGAAGGTTTTTGGGCCGAGTCTGTGATAATGTAGGGGCCTTAATAATTGGAATACGGTTTGGGGTTTTTGTACCATGCTTATAATAAGGAACCCCCACAATAGTAGAGGTAACTATTAAGGCCCCTACATTAAGACGGTGTGATTCAGCGCATGGAGCCTGAATGGCTGAGACTGCTCGGACTTCTCAGCCCAAGACTTTGGGGGATGCGGTTTAGGTTTAGGGTGTAGGGTTTAGGGTTTAGGGTTTAAGGTTTAGGGTTTAAGGTTTAAGGTTTAGGGTGTAGGGTTTAAGGTTTAGGGCTAAGGGCTTAGGGCTTAGGGTTTAGGGACCTTCATAATAGGATTTCGAGATATACTATACTGGAATCGCAAGAAGGACCCCCCCCCAAAAAAAAATACTAGTTGTAATTAGTCAGGCCTTTATATTACAAGCTAATTAACAAAGCTCATAAACTGAACCCAGCAGATTAAAACAAGCCTTTGTAATACTCCCCATCAGCCCAAAACCGCTGACACAACCCACAGGACCCAACCCTCAAGCCTACGCTCTACAACCCCATAGTTGAAACCCCTACGTAGAACCCTGCCTCCACGTGCAAAAACTTTGTAGCCCTCACAACCGTAGACCAAACCTAGTCCTTAAAACCTGAACCCCAAACTCTCCACCCTAAAACCCAGACCCTAAACTGAAAAAGCCCGAAGTTCTCCTGACCCTACACCCAAGAGCCTGCACCCTACGCCGCAATCTGTACGCTCTTTCTAGCGTTTGGACTCTAGGGCGGTTTGGCGAGGCTTCAAGTTCAAACTCCTCTGCTTGTACCCATGGTTCGGGAGTTGTAAGCAGGTGGCTCCCACGGGCACCAAGAACTTCGCAAGATTTAGGGTTCAGGGGGTTTAGGGTTTAGGGTTTGGGAAAATTTGACCCACCAACTGAGGATCGGCCTCAGCCTGAACCGAAGCTGAAGCTGAATCTGCAAGTGCAGCTTGCATCTCGTTCGCAGTTGCAGACGCGTGGGCTGAAGCCAAGAAATCCAAGGCTTCTTGCGGCATCGGACATCAGATCTCGCGCAGATGTGTCCTCCTCCCCGCTTTCGGAAGGTCTCAACCAAGCGAGGCGTGACAGCCACACCTTGCGGCTTCAGTTCTGCGCCTTCGGCCGTTTGCAACGATTCACTTCGGACTGCGGGAAGCTCGTCCATTCATCTACAGTTCGCTTCCGGCTCACCTCCGACTCCACAGGAAGCTTTCGAATAATGCTGCACCAGAAAGTCACCTCGCATTGCTGCATTCATTGCATTGCATGCATTCATTTCACCACCGTCATGCAGCCATGCAGTGAAGCCGCCTTAACTATTATTCACTGAGGTGTTTTGGTGTAATGGGATTTGGCTGGGTCGGCTTTGCAGCAGCCCGGCTTGTTGCGGCATTTGCCGCAGCCGTTCGAGGGCAAAAGCAACCTCTTCTTCATGTCGAAGTTTTTGATGTTCAATTTGGGTTTGGATTCCGACTTCGCCTTCGCTGCCGGCTTCTTCTTCGGCTTCACACTCTTCGTCTGGGAGCTTTGAGGCAGGCTTCTTCTGGGAATTGACATCCTCGTCAGATTCGTCGGCGTGACGTCAGTCGGACCTTGCGTCGTCTATTCTTGGCTAGAGCAGCATCTTTGGCATCATGCATCGCGGCGTCACTGGGTGCGGTGCGCTGGGGGCAGGTGGGTGCCCGGTGGCTATTGGAGCCGCACACGGAGCAATGCGAAAGCTGCACCCGAGCTCTGCACCCACTCCGCCGCACTTTGGTTTTCGGCCTGACCTCATTATTTGGGGGGGAGGAACGTGGCTCCTCGCCCTCCGCCTCCGCCAGGACCGCTTGTGCCTCCTGCAGCTGAAGGAGCTGCAGCTGGAGCACTTCTTTCGGTGCATCGGCGGTGAGCCGCGTTCCAGCAGCTGCCTTGCGGACTGCTGCGGCATTCGCCACCAACCCATCCCAGCGACCGGTGTCCTTGAACGCTTGCTGCAGACTCAGCCGTGCTTGGGGCACATGCTGCCCTAAATAGGGGGGGGGGGGGTCTATGCGGTCCACTCTTCCAACGTCAGGCCCCTATGCTTCCCGAAATCCATGCGGAAGACGGTAGGCTCGGCTTGTCCAGCTTCTCGCCTGCGGCGGTTTTCCTCCTCCCGATCCCGCACCAGCCTCCTTCTCTTGGCTTCGGCGCCCAACTCTTGCTCTTCTCGCCACCTCCTTTCTAAGCCTGCTTTCTCCTCTTGGGTCCGGCATCAAATCTGTCCACTGTCAAATCACTACAGGAATACAGGAACTCAAGCTGAATCGACCATGTTCAGACGTTTAGACACAAAGAAGAGGCAAGACTGGCAAGACGGTGCCACTGTGCCACTGTCCTGCCACTGTCCGCTAGGACACGAAGGTAGGGGCCTTAATAACTATAACTAGAAGAGGGTGTGGGGCTCCTTTATAGTACAATTATGATAAGGAACCCCAGAAAAAAGAATAGTTGTAATTATTTAGGCCCCTATATTGCTCTTCAGGGTTTAGGGGTGTTGAGAGGATGGGTTCGGAAACTCAGTCCGGATTGCAGCTTCGAGCTGTAAGTTTGCAGGGCCTCGAATTCGCGGCCAGAGTGTTCAGGTGCGGAACCTATGGTAGGGTTTAGGGTTTAGGGTTTAAGGTTTAGGGCGAAGGGTTTAGGGTTTAGGGTTTAGGGTTAGGGTTTAGGGTTTGGGGTTTAGGGTTCAGGCTAGAGTCAATGGCTCAAGGTTTAGGCCTTGTCCATGACCTTCTCCAGAACCAGCGGAATTTCCAGGAAATCGATTTCCTTGTGGGAAAGGGCTCTGCGGTACCCTAAGCAATGTCGGGTGTAAAGCTTCGGGTTTAGAGCTTGGCAGTTTGGGTAAAGCATAAGCCCTGCACCATGTCTAATCACGAAGGCCTAAACAGCAAACAGAAAACCCTCACCCGAACTCATGAAGTCTGCAGCCCTAAACCCTAAACAGTAAACCTTCACCCAAACTCATGAAGTCTACAGACCACCCTAAACCCCAACAACACCAAATCCTGAACCCTAAAGCTAAACCCTGACAGGCCTACATCCGAAACCCTAAACCCTGAACC